CCTCCTCCCTCCCCGCCCCCCATCAGCTCCTTGTGATGCTGCACATGGGTGACACAGGACTGAACAAGTGCTGGGCTGCTCCAGCTGCATCTGGCTCGTGTGCGCCCACAGGGAGTCATGTGTGTGTGTGTGCATCATAAAACATGATGTGTGTGTGTGTGTGTGTGAGGAGAGCACGGGGATTGCAGGGGTCTGCACTTACCTAAGCCATTCACAAGGCTCAGCATCACCCAGTTGATTCAGCACCTTGGTAATAGCGCACACATTAACTGCAGCGTGCACACATCACAGGAGGAGTGCAGCTATGAGGGGAGGGGGGTGGTGGTGGTGATGGGGGGACGTCTGTGTTGAGCAAATGTGTGCACGGCGCGTCCAGTGTGTGTTTGAACAGAGAATATAGAGGCAGAGATAGAGAGAGAGAGAGTGGGAGAGGGGGGAGAGCGAGAGAGAAGGAGCGGACGTGTGTTGGTGGGAGCTGGGAGGAAGGATGGCTGCTCTTGTTTGAACTGCCTCACATGCTTCAGAGGAGGCAAAAAGGCAGAAAAAGAGGAGAGAGAGAGGGAGAGAGTGAGAGAGAAAAGAAAGAAAGAAATCAGCAGAGCCATAGAAACAGACGTCTAACTGAGAGGCGCATCTTGTTCATCATTTGTTGGGGAGCAGAAAAGACTTGGCAATGCCTGCTGAAGTCAAAGAGGTAAGTGTGTGTTGGAATGGCTCTATTTGCTCCATACCCTCCCTCCTTTTTTTCCATCCTGTCCATCAGTTATTAGATTTTTTTTGTTTTGTTTTCCTGCAGTGAACCAGCACTCCACAATGTTGCATTCTGCCTCTGTCAGGATGATTTAAGGAGGCATCAGTTGCTTCACTCCCATACCTCTCACTGCTGCTCGCTGCTCTCTTCTTGATGACATGATGCTAACATATCTATTGTGTGTGAGTGTGTGTGAGTGTGTATGTGCATGAATACAAATGCATATGCAGTCCTCTAAAGGGGATAAGTTTGATTGCATTATGAGAAGAGCTTGTCCTCTGAGGAGGGGAGTGGGGGGATTTTAGTCTGCACACACTGGTGAGCGCGTTGCCATGATGTATCAGTGAGACATTAAATTTGACCATGCAGCATTTAACCATTTGAGGAGCGGAGACTAATCAGGGGTGAAGGAAGATGGAAACTTTAAGGACTCTCCTCTCTGCGGGCTTTTCTTCTTCACCCCCTTTCCGTGTTGTCGTTTTGATCCATTTCGTTCGCAGGCCGATCATGTTAAAGTGTGACGTGCAAGAGCAGTGTTTCTGCAGGAGACAAGTCGTTTTAATGCACCTACAGTGCACACGCTTGCAGCATGCACGGACAGAAGATGAGCTCCACAGATTCAACAGATAGCACGGCGCGGATGAGCTTTGTCAAAGTTGCAGCTGATGTTTTCTGATGGCTTGTTTTGGCATTGTAACAAAGAGTCACCGTTTCTGTCCTGCAAAACCTTCTGTCTTGATTGAATCACCTGAAAGTCTCATTCTAAAGAAGATTTCATTTATAATCTAGATTACAAATATTTTCCATTTTTCTGAAGTTTGGATATTTTGAAGTAAGTTTCTCAGGAAATGTTATTAACAATAAATATCTTACCTGCTGTAGACAGTTAAGATGTTTTTATGAGGTACAGTGAGAGAGCTGGTGCGATATTAAACATGTGAGGGTGCGTGCATATTAGTACATATGCAAATGTTTACACACACACACACACACACACACACACACACACACA